GTAATTTCTTTTTAATTTTATATGTATATTAACAAAAATTAAATAGCAAAGTAATTAGTACACGCCTAATCAATTATGTTAGGCATGTCTTGCGGTGTTGGTTTCCATGTTTATCCTCTTCAATGTTTTCTCTTTCAATATTCATATATCATCGAAATTTTTTTCAAAAATCCTTCTGATTCACTATCCTTTTGCATGATTGTAGGAGTGATTTTTGTATATTCTAATTGCATTTTTTCTTGTTTTTATAAAGATTATATTTGTATACATCTTTTTCATCTATTTTCATAGAGTTTCAATTGAACATTTTTTTCATTACAATGATGAAAAGCAGTTTGAGATAATCTTTTTGTGTGTGTTCGTGTCATTCAATTTCTATAGTTTCAATTAGAATTAACCAAAAGGAACTCCAAAACTTTTTACTCTAATGGCAGACCAAACAAAGCACCATCTTTTGCGTTGTATTTGTATTCATTTGTATTTTGAATCAAAACACTATGTTTGTTCTGAATTTATATTCATCTGTATTTTATATTCAAATATAAATATTTGTATTCATCTGTTTATTTGTATTTAAATTCATTTGTATCTGTATTTAAATACATCAATATATATATATCAATATATATATATATATATATATATATATATATATATATATATATATATTGATATATATATATTGATGTATATATATTGATGTATTTAAATACAGATACAAATGAATTTAAATGTTTGTATGTATTCATATATATAATGTATTCATAAATATATTCATTTGTATTTATATTCAAATGTAAGTACTAAATACATTATAAATGAAAGCATATCAATAATTATATAATTGTATTTCTCTATATTTGTATTCAAATATAAGTATCAAATACATTATAAATTATAGCTGATTGATAGTTATAAATTTAAATTCATTTGTATCTGTATTCAAATATAGATTTCAAATACAATATAAATAAAGTCTATTTAACTGTTAAATTATTGTATTCATGTATGTTTGTATTCAAGTGCAGGTATAAAATATAATATAACAGAAGACTAGTTGACTGTTACATAATTGTATTCATATGTATTTGTATTTGTATACTATTTTCATCTACATGTCTTTATATGCATAATAATAATATTGAGATATATTTTTTCAACATACAAGTGTTCTCGTTTTTCATTTTTTTTGTACAGAGTTTGCATCTTCGGTTTTGATTTTTTGAATTTTCAAAATAAACAATGTTAGACTGTCACTTTAGACTACATATTCAAACTGGCAGATTTTTAGGAGTCATTTTAGTTTTTTAACATATCTAAAAATATCTTATTTAGTGCATTATAATTATAAATGTATCATTGTATAAATAATTTATAAAAAAATATAGCTAGATGTAGACAAAAACTGTAGTCATTTTTGATAAATAACATACTTGTAGCTATAAAACTTCAATAACCCTATAACTATAGTCATTTTTGTAAGTTACTCTAATTATATTATATAATTTGCAACGAAAAAATGTTCGTTAAAGTACATATGGCTCCGTCAGTGATAGTGACAAATTCAAGTGTAACCTCTAAGTTTTATATGTCATAAACTCAATATTTTATATAGTTAAATGGTACTTACTATGTTTGCTTAATTTAGAGTAGTTGCTATTAATCTTATCTTTTGAGTAGGGCTAGTAAATTGGCCTACATATTAGTTGTAAGATAGTTTTGGTCTCCTTTATGGTTTGTCACGACACACACCTCATAAAAGTGTTGAAAAAAATTCCTTCTACCACCATAATAGATATTTTTTTTTGGTCAAAATATTTGTTATAATTTTCTTTTCTAAAGTAAATGATACAAATTTTGATTAATATTATAATATTAATTTTTTTTAATTATATTAATATGAGAAAAATTAAAATTTATGCTCTCTTCATTTCATATTAGTTGATTAAGTTTGTGGCCGAAAACAACCTTAAACCACACTGCTAACTTAAGCTGTCATTAAGTTATCTTTTTTGACAGAAAACATCCCCTCAAGTATTTAAAACTTAACAACTTTCATTCTTCTGTTAAAAAATTATCAAAAAAATTAACGAATTCTACACAAAAATATGTGTAGTTCACTTTTTTTTTCTTACAGATTTATTAATGAATTTTGAAAATTATAGTATTACTAATTTGGCTCGAATGCCACCAACTATGAAGAGAAATAAATACTCCCTACATTCAATATTAGTTGATCATTATATTAAAAATAATTGTCTCATATCAATTGTTCATCTTACTAAATAAAAAAAAAAATTAATTAATTTTTTTGTAAAGTGTTCACATTTGTTTGTAAAATTTCCAAGAACTTTTAAAGGGGTGAATTATTAAATTATCGTCTTATTTGTGATTTGTTTTAAGGAAAAGGGCTAAAAATACCTTTGAACAATTTGAAAAGGTCTAAAAATACCCCTCATTCATCTATTGGGCTAAATATACCCCTTCATCCACCTTTTTGGTTCATCTCTACCCTTAAAACTAACAGCCACTTTTTAAAAAATTATTATTATTATTATTATTTGTTAGATGTCATTTTCTTATTGGATAAATTAAATCTCAACCCATTTAATTTTCCCCTACCCACCCATTGTAGTGAACATGACCCAAACCCAATTAGAAGACCTATTAAAAAATAAATTGATTGATTTTTTCTCCCCTAACCCCAAACCTCTTTCTTCTTCCCTCCTTTCTTATTCAAAATATTTCTAGATTACTTTCAATCAAATGATACAATGTCCAGTGCAATGGGGTAGAGATGGATCAAAAAGGTGGATGGAGGGATATTTTTAGCCCAATAGATGAATGAGGGGCATTTTTAGACCTTTTCAAATAGTTCAAGGATATTTTTGTCCCTTTTCCCTTTTTTTAAACACTATACAAAATGAAAAGTAATCAACTAATATGAGCCGGAAGGAGTAGATGGGAATATCTATATTAAAAAGAAAACCGGTGATGATTAGGGGTGTGTTTGGTATGAAGGAAAATGTTTTCCAATTTTCTCATGTTTGGTTGAGTTAAATATTTTGAAAAATGTTTTCCAAATCAACTCATTTTTCTAATTTAAGGAAAATGACCTCCCTTCAAAACTTAAGGAAAACATTTTCCAAAACTCTCTTTCAACTTCAAATTATATTTTTTCTTTGTTGAAAAAATCAATTTATTTTGTCCCTACCCTCAAACTAGCCCCCCAACCACCCCCACCCCCCACCCCCCACCCCTCAAAAAAAATTAAAGCTTGTTTTTAAAAAATGTTTTTAACTTCAATTTTTTAACCCCACCCCTCACCCCTACCACCACCACACCCCCCCCCAAAAAAAATAAAATATTAAAAGTTGTTTTTAAAAGATATTTCTAATTTCAATTTTTTTATTTTTTTATCCCCCACCCCCTACCCTCACCCCATCATCCCCCCACCCCCTTCAAAAAAAAAATTTAAGTTTATTTTTAAAAAATATTTTCTACTTCAAATTTTTATTTTCACCCCTACCCTCGACCCTCCCCCCGCCAGCCCCTCCCCCCACCCCCAAAAAAAAATTAAGTTTATTTTAAAAAAATATTTTCAATTTCAAAAATTATTTTCTACTCTAGTAAAAATAAAAGATATTTCTCAAAAATATTTTTCATTCATAAATCAAACACTAAAAATCTTTTCGGAATATATTTTCTACTCACCAACCAAACAAAAAAAAATAAATAAAAAATCTACTTGTTTTTTAGGAAAACATTTTCTAGGTTTCATACCAAACACACCATAGATTAAAAAAAAAAACTTTGAAACATGTAAGCCAATTTGCTACATTAAAAATAATATTTAACTCAATTTTATGATTATTTGTTGTCTCGCACTAACTATCTAAATCGAATATCAACTAAGCATTTTCTTTTTGGAAGGCTACCTTCGAATTAATTGAATATCATAATTTTTTAAATATTCAAAATATTCTTCTAAAATAAAAACTGTTTTTTTGTTGGTTAAATTGGGGTAGGAGAAGAGGAAACAGAGGAAGGGATTATAAGATGATGTAAAACTTGACCTATAAATTTATATTTGATTAAAAAGGCCCATTATTTCAAAATTTGTAATAGAAAAAACTCATGTTGAACATGAAGAGATTGTTTCGTACCATGTGAAAAAATAATAGGACAAATTACTTAACTACACTCCTTTACTTACCTTAATATCTATTTATCCCTACTTATTTCAAAAATTTCAAAAATCCCTTATTTTACCTATGTATCCCGTGCACAACGCTATGTATCCCGCTATGTGGAATGTATCAAACCTAATATATCCCGTGCACAACATTATGTATCCCGCAAACATCATTTTTAAGGAATTTTTGGTAAATAGAAAACTAGAAGGGATAGGATGTTATTTAGTACTTATAGTATGTGGTTCCTATAATTTATACAAAATAATATTTAAAATAACTAGTCACTAGTACTATTTTTTACTTGTGTAATTGAAAATTTGTACTTTGCAAATTTTTATCCATAATAAGAACATGAAGATATGTAATTTGTCAATGCAGCGCCTTTGGATATTCCGATATCTTGTTTATAAACCATAATTTGTTCATTTGGTATTGTATAAGAATTGGATTCTTTTAGATAGATTTCACAACTTGCAGAGGTTTCCTGTTTATGAAAAAAAAAATACAATACAACTTTAGAAACTCCAAATTACATATCCAAACAAAACTTTAACTTTATATCATAATTTCACATCGCATGTACAAACGGCCCTTAGTAATCACATATTAGGCTAAGTACCTCTGATGCATGTACATATCTGGTATGGTTTCAAAGTTGGAAATGGTGAAGGACTCATGTAGGTTATCATCTAAGAGTATCAGCAAAGCAGTCTTAACAACAAAATCAACATGATGGCAGAAAAATGAGTAGGCAGGCAATGGCCTTATATTAACTAAGTAACCTACCTGACTACAACAACAACAACAAGAAGATACCTCGTATAATCCCACAAGTGGAGTCGTTGATACGACGAAATCAGATTTTTATAATCTAGAAACCTAAGTATTTTGGGGCTAGCAGAAACAGAGGTTCCAAAGCACTTGGAGCAAACTTCCTTGCAAAAAGATAGCACATTGATGTGTTTCGGTCGTTGTACGTACAGTTAGGTCCTGCCAGCATTCTCTTCATAAACTCTTCCGTGATATCTGATTTACCAAAAGTGGCAGGGTGAGCTCCGCCCCTCGACCAGTCAACCCATGTTATACTTCTGTTTGCCAAGAGATTTGATGCTTGAATAGTCAGCATTGTTGGGAAGTAGTGCTCGTCTACATAGCATGCTGGCCTGCAAAACTCAGCAAACTTGGGGTAGAATTTTGTGTCTTCGACTATGAAAAGAGCAAGCTTCCTACTCATTTCAAACCATTGTGATCCTTTGCGCCACTGAGAAATGTTAACCTCTGGTAACATATTCTCATCATATCGTCCTCTTCCATATGGTCCAGGATCATCAAATGCACCAACAAAGCTATGCTTTGACTGACTTATGTACTTGTAGATGACATTGAATTTGTAGAGGGGGATGCATGACTCAGAAAGAAGAACAAACCACTCATTGGAGATGTCGAGCAATGCATTTGCAAGGAGTCTTCTCTCAGCATCACACATACTCATCTTTCCCCATTCTGTCACCTATTAAAAATGAAGTTACAACATCATCAGCAACTTACAAGTCACAACTAAGCCAATTCCATTATAAAACATTTCTGAGAGAAGTTCTTAGCAAAGATAGAAAGACGTAAAACCATCCCAAAGAGACAGTCAAAGATAAAATGAGATGACTACTAGAATACAAAAGCAGTCGTGAAAACCAGCTGCAGAAAAAGAATACCAAAAAAGTGAAAGGAAGAAAGAAGTTTTGCAACATCTCTGAAAATTTTCATCAATGCTTTTGCAGCAAGCTACATTAACGAAATGCAACTTGGTCAAACTATCATTCACTGAACATTTACAGACCATCACAGAGGATTGATACTATAATAGAAAAGTCTTGTTCGTTTGCAGCTAAGTTGCTTCTCTTATCAGTAAGTAAGCTGAGTGCTATGCGTTCTTTTTTTTTTTTACCTTTTTTTGGGGATAACCGAGTTATTCCCGAAGGTCAGCAGCACACGTATCAAAACTCGGTAGATAACAGGCACGCCTCTACCCTTCTCCACTTAAATACCAGATAGTTGTCCCAATCAGCGTTTGGATCCCATGACATATGCCTAACCCACACATTATTTGTTTTGACTTGTTGGAATTACAAATGCTAATGACATTATTATATACAACACTCATGCATAAAAGCTAACAGCCAAACCTAATGCAATATGATTATTAGCCTTCTCATATATTTTTAAAATTTCACTTTAAAAGCTCCGCTTTCATCATCCTGCTCACTTTCCTACTACCTATGGGAAAGAGAAGATCAGCTCAGATCACTGGAGCAAAATGCACGAAACAGAACATATAAACTAAAACCGAGAAGTGTTAACACAAATATACTGATGTAATGCAAAAGATGCAGCTCAAACGATTTGGTGTTGGATGAGATGACTGATAAATGCTAGAAATATATGCTCAGGACAAAGATTTTTCAGGCAACACGATCTTTGACATTAGTTTTCACCTTCAAAATTTTCCCCTTGTCAGTGCTATTTAAAACACTTTTGAAGCTAGCAGTGTGAGATAAGAGGTTCTCTGAGCTTTACTTATTATCAGAGCACATCCATAAAAACTCGAGCAGACAGTCCTAAACTTCAATCAAGATTTTCAGCATTAACTTAATTGGGCAAACCCTCCGTTTCAAGTGTTCAGAAGTCAAGTCACCCACTTCAAGATCAACTATCGAGTAGCACGCCAAAATAGACAATTACGCTGCAGGTAAGCGTGCTCCAAAGTTATTATTCACAGGGAACAACTGAAGTATGACTTAAACGCGCCACATCACTCCATTACTTCTAAATTTGGATGCCCATAGATTCAGATATATGGTTACACAATAACATCAACGGAGGTACTCCCAAATCCCAATAACATCCACAAAGTTTTGAAAAATACTGTACAACCATTTAGCAAGGAGATGGGAACTCATGACGAGAGGGAGTTGCTCGGATGGTAAGCACCCCTCACTTCCAACCCGAAGGTTGCGAGTTTGAGTCACCAAAGGAGCAAAAAGGGTGGGCGCTCCTGGGGAGGGGTAAAAAAAAAGGAGATGGGAACTCATAGGAAACTATGACCCAGCGAAAAGAGACTCTACATGACTTGTTGAACGTAATTGTTCAACAAGAACCACAGTACAGACCTTGCTAGTTCATACTAGTCTATTAGAGTAGAAATCATAAATGATATCTTGCTAACCTGAAAAGGTTGACTTGTTTGATAGGTTTTTACTCATAAACAAAGGCCGACGGTAACTAGTTCAAACTACAGGACTTAAGATCTTAGAAGTTTTGATAACAAACAAGTACTTCTACATTATTTGTTATCCCACTTAATACCACATTAATGGTGCACCTTTAAGATCAATCCATCATCTTTTTATTTGGTGATAAACTTCCACAATCAGATATGCTCATGAAATTGGATAACTGATACTTGTAGAGAGAATTTGCATAAATGTTCAAATCTCTCCTTCAAGAAGCTTAGCAACAACCCTTCGGGGTGGCCCAGTGGTTTGAGCTTGGGACTTCCATGTTGGAGGTCTCAAGTTCGAAACCCCTTGTTTGCGAAAGCAAGGGGTTTGCCTTCTGGGTCGAGCTCGTAGCACCAGGCTTGCCTAGTGCGGGTTATCTCTCCTGTGTGGTTTGCGAGCTATTGCATAGGAGCGGGGGTTTTACCCTGTGCGCACCCAAAGGGTAGCGGCTACGGGTCTCCCTTGTCATAAAAAAAAAAAAAAGCTTAGCAACAATGCGTCCCAAAATCCAATCTTCAGATGGTTTGCAAAGAGGAAAAACAAGGCCAAAAACCACATATTCATTAATTATCTCTTTTTCTTTAATAATCGTGGTGTCCAGGTCAGTTTGTGTGCACCTTGACTAATTCCCAGGATACCTACTACCTCCGTCCAGTACAAGCATCAAGAAACTTTGCCCACCAAGGCTTGAATTCTTAGCATCCGCTGAGATATGAACCTAAGACTTCACGATTCTTAACTAACTTCATTGACCACTAGGCCACACCCTTGAGTACATTAACCATATCATTAACATTATCATACAATATTAGTTGATTGACCAGGTTTTCCACCTTAGATATGAATATACACTTCATCCAAAATGTTCACAGTGTCCATCATGATATACGGGCAAACTACCACTTTTGGCATAAGTAGTAGAATATGCATGCCCAGACTTCAAATGAAAATATACATCTCTAACTACAGTCTACAAGCACAACAATAAAAATAGCTTATCCTCTCCCCAACTCTAATGTAATAAAATAAATTTTAAAAAATAGATAAATAGCCCAGCAGAATTGATCCTCCACCTCCAAACTTGAGGGCTTCAGGTCACCAAGGGAGCACACGGGGAAAGGATCACTGCAAAGGAATGAATTTATTGCTTTATTGGTCATGAAGAATAGATGAATTCCCTCATCACAAAAAAGGAAACCAAGTCCAGTCATTAAGGAAGCATGAGTTGGGCTAACAAGCAAAATGCAATCTAGTACAATGTCAAGCCATATCTCTTTTGCAGGAACAAGTTACATGAACAGACGTAATAGAAGATCAGTTTAGATGGTATTACAAACTGCAGAGGCTCTACATACCACCTCCCATCATAAAAAACACAAAAACATGAAAAGGCAAATCTGCAGGGACATACCTGGCTGGGAATTTGCCTCTTGTAGAACACTGAGGAGGCCGGGAAATCGGCCTCAAATGATGGCAATGAATGAATATAAATTGAATAAAACCCCTGATGTCCCTTAAAAAACCTCTCCCAAATAGGTGCCAATGGCAATGGTCCTTTAGTCAAGAACATGAATGCAATCTTAGGAACCCTCTTAAACGGATACTTCTTTACCCGGGGCACCATTGAAGCCCTCCATAACAACTCTTTATCAGACATAGTATGTAGCAAATTAGATGGAGGATTAATCCAACTCTCTAAATTTTTAGATTCTTCCTCAATACATGGCAGTAAACTAGGCCTTATCGTAGGAACTATGCTATGAAATCCAAAATACTTGATCATATAAATACTAGCCACAGAAAAAGTAAAACACAGAAACAGAAACAGCATCAGCAAGTGTAGCAGCCTTTGTGGCAAAGCCCTAGTTATGCCATTTGTCCTAGGTACAACTAATGGATCTTTATTCTCCTCCACCATTTGAACAACTCTTGATTGCATCTAATTAACCATCAACGATTCCCCTTCTGAGTATCAACAATCTAACAAAAAACTATTGGTATCTTTTTCAAAACCCACAAAAATTGCAAAACCAAGCTTCAGACTGAGTCAAATTACTGTAAAGACTGGAACTTTACAGTAACCGTTTAGAATTGAATGCAGAAGCAGATTAATTTGGAAAAATTTGTGAGGAAGAGATTAAGAAAATACAGAGAATGGGCAGGACTAATCAACTTTTGACAATTAGTAAAGGTTATTTAAGGAGAAATAAATGGAAAAAGACTCCTTATTAGTCTAATCTTGACTTTTATTAGTAGTAGGAGTTAATTTTGAGGGAGAAAAGGCTGAAAGACCAGATTTTTAGGCATAAAAATGTGAAATAGCAAAGGTGGTAGGGGAAGATTGAGGAGATGTAAAGAATCAAGAATCTGGTGGGAACGTGTTTGGAGAATGTTGGCACATCACATGCGCAGAAAGAAGAGAGAGAGATCCCTTCCAACTTCAGGTTGGTGAGTGGGTGGTGGGGTGGGTGAGGGTGGTGAAGGTAGACAGGGTGAGTGGGGTCCTTAGATGGTTGAGGGTTTTTTCAAGGTTTAGAGGTGTTTTGGTATATTGGAAAATATTTACTAAATGGGGTCAAAGAGGAACAATAGAATATACGCAGATTTTATCACTATCTCATAAAAAATAGACAAACTATTTTTGAAAGACCTTCGACTTAATTGCATTAAATCTAAGTAAATGAGAGAAAAATAATGAAGAAAGTATAACATTTAATAAGAAAAGTAAGGTAAAACCTGCAAGAAAGAAACAACACTAGCAACAAAATAGCGTAATATTCGAAACACTGTTCAAATATATGACGATAGATAACAAAAGAAAGGCAAGACATCACTATACTCCTATTAACTTTTTACTTGAATACATGGTCTCAACTCCTTCCTATCTAGAGTTATGTCCTCGAAGTTGCATCTTGTCATGTCTAATCACCTCTTCCCAATACTTTTTTGGCTTATCTCTACCCTTCTATGTACCTTTTACAACCAACCTCTCATACTTGCACACTGGGTATTTGCGCATCTCCTCTTCATATGCCCAAACTATCTCAGTCTCGCTTCTCTCATCATGTCAGCCACTGAGGCCACTCTTACCTTCTCTCGGATAACCTCATTTCTATCATGTCAGTCCTAATATGTCTACACACTCATCTCAATATGACATGCATCTTCTAAACATGTGAGTTCTTAATTGGTCATCACTCCACTCTATAAAACAACCACAGTCTAATCACCATTCTATAGAACTTACCTTTAAATTTAGGTAGTACCTTATTATCACACAAGACCCTAGAGGCAAGTGTCACACCCTAAATCTGGAGGGGCGTGACAGACACCTAATGTGTCATTTGACCGAGCCAACCGATATTTTTGAATACAAGCAATGTTACCATAAAACTATAAAAATTAGGCTCGTAAACCTTCGATACGGAACGAAGGACATCCATAAACACCCTAAGTGTTACAACAAGCCTCTATTTTATTCATATTATCGCAATACGATGTGAAATATCATCATCGATGATCCCACTTTCTTGAATTACAGACCAAAGATAATTGATATGATATTATATTAGTTGATCATGTTGATATGACATTGTACTACTTTTTTCTCTCTTTTCTATTTGGTTTAAAATGACAAGATGGCTTAGACCGACAATTTCAGTTCATATTTATAAAATTAGTTCATTTACCTCATGTTTTAATGAGTTGAATCAATTGTATTTCTTTTGGATAAATAGATTTTAATATATTATTAACTCATAAAAATATAAAGAAATATGAGTATTCATATCCTATCATGGCAAGTCAACTCAAATATAATGTATTTTTATAAAAAAAATAATAGCAAAAATATATTTTTATTTATTGAAGGTTAAATATATTTCGTTATTTACTCAGAACTAGTATTCTTTTATCAATATTTTTTTAAAAAAAAAATTAGTTTTTGTAGCACCCCAGAAAAAAAATTGAGCTAAGACTCGAATCATCCTTCGTAGTGAGTAGGATTTTACCGAGAAATTTAAAATTTCTTAAGTGTTAAGGTAGTTATGTAGAACCTTGAGTTCCAAAAAGAACTAAAGAGAAATTCATTCAAGTCATTCCTAAGTTCTTCTAAGTTTTGGTTCAACTTCAAACGACCATAACTTTCAGTACATGATGAGTTAGGTGGCCTATAAGATATAAAATGAAAGGTCTTTGAATTATCTTTCCAATGCCACTGAGTTTGCTAAATTTTGAGTTCGAATGAGTGAGATATTCCTTTTTGAAGGCAGGCTTTCCAATTAAGGAAAGTGACCTGAAAATAGTGAGGGGTATTTTGGTCTTTTCCTTACTAAATCAGTTTTAATTCATTTTTAGTAAGGTTTTAGGGGTTTAAACTGATTTGGTTCAGTTTTATAATCCTAATAAATGCCTAGGGTTTTAGTTGAGAGTTCAAGAAGAGAAAATAGGAGAAAAGAGGAAAGGATCAAGGCGTTCATCGAGATTCTTGAGAGTTGTTGCGGATTTTCGCCATGGTTTTGATCCCTACATGTCAAACATGATTTTCATATTTGAATTCATCCATAAAGATTGAAAGATTTAAGTTTTTAATAAGTGTTCTTGAAGTTTATTCTAAATCTTGTTTTGTTGGGGTTTTAATGAATTCTTGAGATGAAAGCTAGTGATTTGAGGGTTGTTTTGAGTGGATTAGTATGTACATATGTTGAGTATTCTATTCTAAGTGATTGGGAAAGAAACCATTCGATTCTAGGCGAATTAGGGTCTAAAAACGAGCAAACAAAATTTGTCGGGTTTTCTGGATTGGGGCCTAGCGCCCTGCGCCAGCCAGTGCGTCCCAAATCCTCTTCTATAGTTAAGGGGCCGGCGCCCCGCACCACTCAGTGAGCCAAGGTCGCCTGCCCTGTCCAGTTTGCAGTCGATTGCTCCGTTTGAGTTCTTTTAAAGTGTACCTTCACTCTTTTTTTATTCTAATCACTCTAAACTACTTCTAAAAACCTAGAAATCATTCATGACATGAATCATAGCCTTGAATTCATAATTCAAATTTAAGGTAGAGTTAAGAGTTAAGTTTTGACAGTTCCTCCGAACATTTTGAGAAGGTCCCTTTGAGTCTTTTGAGAAGTCTTCTACAATTTCTAATAACTTGTTTCAAGACTCGAGCAAGTGAGTATGAGATTGAGGAGAATGTATTCGTGAGTCTACTTTATCATCACGAGATCCTTCATATCATGAACCATAACTCTTGAATTCATAATTCACATTCAAGAGAGAGTTAAGAGTAGAGTTCAAGAAAGTCTTTGAGTTCAATTGTGAATCCTTTGAGATCAACTATCGATTTGAACTAAGTTTTGGGAAAGTAAGTATGAGAATGAGAAGATTTGTATACATGAGTTTCATATTATTATTTAGACCCTCGAGTTGAGTCGTTCATGCCCATAAATTTCGAATGAACTTCATAAATTGAGCATCTATGAGTGTAGTAGTATCTTCAAGTTCTAAGTCTTGAGTATTGAGTTCCTAACCCTTTTGAGATTATATTCCTAATAATGGAACTATTACATGTTACCCATGAAGTCTTTGAGTTGAGTAGTTCATGCTCATAATTCTGCATGAACCCTTTGAGTTGAGTATTCTTTAGATAAGTTGATTTTGAGTTCTTGAGTTCATGTTTCTTTTAAAAAATTTATTCCTAATTATTGAGTTTCTATATTGTTATTGAGATCCTTGAGTTGATTTGTGCATGCCTATATTTCAGCATGAACCCTATTTTGAGTTATAAATTTTTAAAAGCTTTTTTTAAAGCCAACACTTGAGTTTTAAACTAAGTTTTTGAGAAAGTAAAGATGAGTTTTGAGAAAGAGTTTATAAAACATGATGTCACACCCAGTTTTTCGCAAAACGGGTTTTGGTGCACGACCTAACAACTCTTTTGGGCTTTTGAGGATTGAAGAGTCATCACCTAACGAATTAAGGTGCGTTAGGGCACATATCTAACCTAAACTAATTCTACCTAAGGTCAACGAACCAGAGATCAGGGTAAGGGTTCAAATTACCTCAATGGGAAGGTGTTAGTCATCCCTCGAGGTCCACAAATGTGGGTCCCGGTCATATCTCATACAATTTATGTGGGGGTTACAAGTAGCAATTAAGGTCACTTCATTTATTATTTATTTAATTAGCATGGTTACTAAGTGATAAATAATATTAAACAATTAAGGCCATTTCAATTATTTATTAAATTAATTAAGCATGCGAAAACTAGGTGATAACAATGTTAAGCAATTAAGGGCACTTTAGTTATTTTAGTTAATTAGGTAGGCATGCGAGATTAAGTGATAATATAATAACAAATAAATATTACACAATTAATAAAGAGATGAGTGAGGGGATAGAGATTTGCACAATTAGATAGAATAAACACATTTTATTTTTATTAAACTACCCCAAATAATTATAAACACATAAAGGGATAAAAGGACAGGGAGACTCTGAAGGACTTTACGGATCAGCACTCGACTTTCTTTATTTCGGTCAACTTCTCGTAGGGACAGACAAAACCAAGGTTTGTCTTTAAGACCGAGTCGATGTCATCATCTCCGTAGGGCCTAACTATCCCTACCCCACCACCGCATGCTTTCGTCTCTACAAGGTGCCTATCGTCCCCGCTTAAGGTCCAAGAGGCATTGGACTGCTACTAGGGTGGATTTAGACAAAGATAAAATATGATTCCTAATAGGCCCACCTAGACACCAAGTCAAACAAATAAGACAACACTTAGCACGTAAATCTCACATTGGCCTCTAGGTTTTTATTTAGCATGCTTGCAAACACAGATAGAATGAAAAGGTCGCATGCTAAGTGTGTGACATACAAACATTAACAATATAATTACTGAATTTAGAGGGCAGAAAAATATTACAAGTGTAAAAAAAAAAGCTTATTAGACTGATTTAATTAGTTTTTAATTTAAAATGGGGCACTTTATAATAACGCAGATGGGCAAAAATATTTTAAAGCGGTAGCAAATAATTAAAGCTGAAATTTAATTTTTATTTGCAGCAGTTTAGTAGATGCAAAAAATAACCAGTAGCTGATTTTTTACGTAGCAAGATTATGATGCAGAGGATAATATTTAAAGTAGACCTGAATTAGAGCAGCAAGTAGCAGATGCAAAGAAATGACTTGATTAATTTTTTTATTTTTTTAATTAAGTTGTTATGAAACAATAGCAGAACAATGCATAAAAGTAGCTCAGTTATTTAATATGTTGACAATCGACGGATTTATTTTATGGCTGAAAATTATTGTAAATGCAGAAAATGTTGAACAATGAACAGAAAATATGCTACAGATTTATTTCAATTATTTAACATGCTGGAAGATTATTTATTTAGTCTTATAGGCATGGTT